GTTCTTGGTTACACCTACTCTATGGAAGACACAGAAGGTGGAAGTGTTGAGTTCTTTGCTAGATACTTTTAATGTGTCAGATAACTCCTTCTCTCTACATGAATCACGTTTTGCTAATTTATTTCTGATTGGTTTAAGAAAAGCAAGCATCTGTGAACCCATAGATGGCCTGTGACCCCAGATATTCTAAGGTATATGATTATGAATTTCTTTTTTTTGGAGTTCATCTATAAAATGAGCCAGTGCTTCCTCTGTGGGTAGAGTGAAGGGCCTATGGTATTATGAAGAAAATGCACCTGTGCAGCCATGAGGCATGCAAATAGCCTTTTGTTGTTGTAAAGTATAAAAATGAATAATCTGATCCCACCTCAGGTTTAATGCTTGCCATCATCTGCCTTGGGCAGCAGTAACACAGAGAAGATGATAAGATAAGCCAAGTAAGTGACTGACTTGAAGGAAGTAGACACATTAATGGGGACAATGTATTAATCCTATGACTATGCTATTATTCCATAATAAACTATTATAAACTTGGAAACTCAAAACAACATTGTTAAGTAGACCTGGTGGCACAGGTCTGTAATACCAGTGACCTAGAAGGTTGAGATGGGAAGATGGCAAGTTTGAGGCCAACCTAGGCAACTTAGTAAGACTGTCTCAAAGTAAGTAAGTAAATAAATAAAAGGAGAGCTGGCGATACATCTCAGTGACAGAGCATTTGCTTAGCAAGTGTAAAGCCCTAGGTTCAATCCAGTACTACAAAACTAAAACCAACAACCCCTCAATATTATTTTGCAATATTGTGACTCAAGAGTCTGAATCTGTGTCCTTTGTTCAGAATCCCACTAGGCTAAAAATCAAGGTGTAACTTAGGGCTGTGCTGATCTGTGTCCCAGGTGTCTCTTTTGAGCCTATCAGTTCTTGGCAAAAAAGAAAAATCATCTTTTTGAGGATATAGAACTGGGGCTCTTAGTATCTATAGGTTAACCATCATTTCCCATCATCAGGCCTTCTCCACAATGTGGCATTTTGCTTCTTCAAGGGCATAGGCAAATAAATGCCTGTTACTTCTCATCTCCTAAGGACCCACATAATGACCCACTCAGTAAAATGCTTTCCTGTTGATAGATCCAAAGTCAACTGCATAGGGACCATAAAAAAATCCTTTTGCAAACTGTTGTGAAGTCACAGGTTCTTCCCACACACAAGAGGGTTATATGGGTATATATTGAGAATGCACGAATTTTGGGGTTTATCCTGGGACTCTATTTGACAGAGGAGTCCCCTAGTTGTAGTCAAATAAAATAGAAAACCTAGCTTACTTATCTTTTTATTGCTACGAGATTATATATTACAGAGATAACTAAATGTGATATAATCATGATTCAGCCATGATGAAATTGCCAAATATGGAAGAAAATAGGGTAGGGTGAATCTGAAAGTGGGGCAACTATACAATGGCAGTGGTATAGCAATATTATGAACAAATTAATTTGTTAAACTTTAGTTTAACTACTACTTAGCAAAAGAAATTACTTTGTGTATGTGTACATATACATGTATGTGCATTTGGAGGTCAATGCCAGGTATCAACCTCTATCATTTTCCAGCTTATTTTGGGGAACGGTTTCTTGCTGAATCTGGAGCTCACTGATTTGGTAATATAGGCTGGCCAGCAATGTCTGGGGATCCCATTGTCACTGTTCCCTCACTGCTGCTAGGTACTATAGGCATTTATTGTTGTCAGGCTTATTTCATGGATGCTGCGGATCTCAATTCAGATCCTCATGCTTGCTTTACCAATGGAACCATCTTCCTCAAGTCCAGAAGTGACTTTTTTATTAGGAAAATGTGATAACTTCATTGAGTGTTCCATTTGTGCTTTTTCCTGCCTCCAGTAGATGCAGCATACACTTAATACTCTGTGACTAAAAGACATAGCTGAGCAGTGACAGACATCACTGTAGCAATACGTAAATGAAAATATCTCCTGCTAATGTCTGGATTTAACCATCTAGCTTCTCAGAAGAGAAAGGATAGGGGATGTGTGGACTCTTGACTGTAAAAGCAATCATTGTGGGTGAGAGTTGGTTCCTCTAATGAACCAGCATGAGGGTTCAGAAATTAATCTTTGCATCTGGAATCTGTTCTTAGCATCAGGAAGTTTAGTAGTCAAAAACATCAAGACTGGCTTGTCCATTGACCTTAATAGGAATTTAGGGCACCAGCAAAGAGAGTAATTAAAAATAATACCATTTCCTTTCAAATAATGGGAAATTATATTTAATAATGAGAAAAATTGCTGAATTTCTTTTTCAGTTTGTTATGTGATGTTTTCTGAAAGTATAATTACGTACTACAGAAAGGTGCGAGCTGTACTTTTGGAAGTATATAGGGCCTCTCAGTCTGAGGGTTTTAGGTCATTCCTAGGAGATTGTATCATAGTGCAGCATAAAGTATACACCAGACATTATTGTACTTAATCAGTTGCTTTCAGGAAGAATCATGTCAACATTTTCATACAAAACCACAATTCATATGCCTCAAGATGATAGGGATTCTGTGCGTGGTGCTCTGTCTAGCAGAGTCACCCAGTCCTTCTCACTCCTCCAAGGGCCCAAGGCATCATCAGAAAACATTTCGCATTTCTCAAGTTTTCCTGATGATAAGAATAACAACTTTGGAACATGCTTAATAGGTACAGGTTATCAACACAGTATTGATACCAATGTTCAAGGGTTCAGTGATCTTCAGGTTCTTTTTATCAAGCACATCTGATGAGTCTTTTCCTCAAGCCAATCCTAAGATAAATAGTGAGACCATGGGCACTTGACCTTTTATTGTGAGGGGGTGCCAAGGTCTAGTCAACAACACAGATAGCATGAGGGGGATTAAATCTTCTGACCTACCTGCACTCACCTGGGCCCAGTCCCAAATTATGACTCTAATCTCCCTGAAGAGACACACTTTATGGGAGGGGTATTCATACCCGTGCAAACACATTTCTAGAATTTCCCATTGAGTTTCTTGATCCTATTTTATTCTACAATCAGACTTTCTGTTCTGTCCCTTCTACCAGCTGCCACCAGCACATGAGTTCACAGCCACCTTTGTTGGGTTTAGCAATGACCTCAGCCTGTTGAGCAGGAGTTGACCTCCATGTCCAGAGACAGACTGATTTTCCAACTAATCCCATCACTGCACTGGCGTGTTCCTCTGTGGATAACTGAATGAGACTTCTGTCTTCAGAGCTCTGCCCACTGTCCACTGGAGAGGAGCACCCTGATCTAGACCCATCCCTCCCCTTCTATACTAAGACATCCCACACATTTTCTCAGGCCTGAAAGGATCAACTTGACCCTTTGTGAATCCTCCTGTTCTTGCCTACAGGCTTCAGTGACCCCTGAAAGTTGAGGCTAGAAAATAGCTTGAAAAAGAAAAATTGCTTCCTTTCATTCATGGTTCCATTGGCCTTCCTCCTTCCTCCCAAAGAGTGTTGCCTCTGCCCAGGGAAATAGTCTTCTGATTCACATTCTTAAAGATTAAGCATCTAGGAAGAAGAATCTGTGGCCAAAGGCAAGAAAATAGGATAAACTACTTATGGCCACCCTAGAACAACAGGGTTAAATGTATTAGCCACATATAGCTATTTTAACTAATATTAAAAGTTAAAATGTTAGTTCCTCACTCACTAGCTCAATAGCCACTGTGGTCTTCTATCTCTTGGTCCAAGGTCAACGAGGATACTATATTGTATAGTGATGCTATGGAGAATTTTCTCAGCATGGAACATTTTATTAGATAATTTTGAGACATGATATATTCTTCTTGATTCTGCATGTGTTTCAACACATCATTTTATATGTGTTTGTTTCTATTTTCATAGTGCTAAGAATCAAACCCAGAGTTTCACATGAGCTAGGATAGTGATTCTTGTAATAATGAATACTTTATTCTAGACTAAACAGTGCTATTAAATGCTGTATTAGAAAAAAAAAACAAAAATAACCTGTTCATGGTGAGAGAAGGGAAATTTAATCATCAAAAGGTTATCTCTTTCCTTTCTGCATTTTTCTATAGATTATCTTATTCCAGGTTAGACTTCTCAAAGTGGAATGTTAGATCAGACTTCTAAAAGAAAAGGCTCAGAATGGTGCAAAAAGCCTATGTGGGGCCTAGGGATAAACAGTGAAGCAGAGTGTCTCCAAACCATGCAGTGGGGAAATGAAACAAAGCAGGAAGAAGGCTGAGACCGACAGGAGCAGGATCCTCCTTGGCCAGGGGTCTGGCTCTGGACCATAGGTCTGAAGGAGGAAGCCACCTGTACCTGATCTTAGCAGTCTTGAGGCTAATAGGCTGCCAAGTGCTCATGAGTGTCTCTATGTGGCCATTTCTCAGAGTCTCCTAGTTCCCAGGTTTTTCTATAATTGTGCATCCTCTAAACATAAGAAGTTTGTTTTGTCCTAGGCTGTAATGAAGGAGACAGTGGTGAATTAAATGCTGTGTTTAGGAGAAAGAATGTCTTCCTTGATTTCCCAGATGAGTTGTAAGAACCATGTTATCTACACCCCCCACCCAATACGCACTATCACACCTGTCATGGTTCCTTTAATGCTTGTGGTAACCTTTGATGAAAGCAGGGAAAATGGCAATCATTGGAGTCAAGAGGGGGAGGGCAGGATCAGAAACCTGCAGCCAGAAGCCCAAGGAACAACAAACAATATAAAATACAGACCAAAGTTCAGGTAGACAACAAGAACAATATGCAGAAGTATCCTGTGGTTTCCCATCTCTTGGTCCTAGGGCATAGTTGTCTTCATATGTATTGTCAACTTCAAAGTTTTTCCATCCTTGAGTTAGGTTTTCTGATGGGGTCAGTTAATATGGACTTTACCTCTACATGCCTTCTCATCTCCCTGTCAATCCCCCCTACACCCACTAAATGAACAATTAGAGCTCCTGATGCACACATAATACCCTGTTTGTTCTTTGTCTTGCAGCCGTCTCCAACTTGGACATCGAGAGTAAGTTGAGTGTATACTACCGTGCACCATGGCACCAACAGCGAAACATCTTCCTCCCAGCTACTAGGCCACCCTGTGTGGAGGAGCTGCATCGCCATGCCAGACAGAGTCTGCAAGCCCTGCGCAGAGGTAACTGATCACAGGGTGGGGGATTTCTGGGACACTATCAGAAGGCTGTGCCATCTAGGCGTTTCCTGTCCCATCAGTCCTGTGACCTCCTGTGACCTACTTAGTTAAAACAAGCACTTTGAAATGTTCACATTTCTACCCCTCATGAGATGCATACATAATATCAACTACATGTGTATATGCGTTAACATTATCATTATGGCCTAAGTATGATCACAAAGAGAATTCAAAGAGGAAGAACATTAATAACACTGTATCTTAATATGCAAGTGCCAATTCACAATTGTATTAGATGACATAATGAAAGGAGTTAGATGTCTGTACCTCTCAAAACTAAATTTGAATTGAATAAAGACAGAAATCATCCCACACAAAAATGTGGAGAAATGAAGAAGCCCTAGAAACAGGGGTAGGGGAAGAGCCACAAAAATTGGTATATCCAGAACCAATTGGATATGGGCAAAGTAAGACTTGGGCTTATAATGAAAAGGAAATTAGGGCTGACTCGGAAATAGGTTCCTGGCTGGTTTTTTTTCTATAGGAGATTTGGATAAGGCAGTTAAATGCTGTATGGGCTATGGAACCTTCCCATTGACCATTCTGCATATTACATGATGGCTGTTATGCTTGGCTCCTGCCCAGTAATACTAACCATCATAGTAAGGCTCTCAAGTGCTCTTCTGTTTCTGTTGGGAATCTGTGAGTTGATCCAATGTCCTCATTATACAGGGAGGTGCATGGAGACTGAAATTTGTGGACACTTGTTCAGGGTCATTCAGGCTAGCTCCAGAGCCAGTACCTGGGCCTGATCCTCTGATCTCTCAGGCAGAGCTCTTTTCTCTGTGCTGTATTCTGTGTCTCATGAAAATAGCTATCCCTATTGTCACAGCAACAAGAGCACCAAAGATAGGCATAGAACAGCCCAGGTAAAAGTGAACCTTTTCTTACTTCTAAGTACCTTAATACCTGTGAGAATGAGAGGACTTAAAATATTTTATCCTTTAAAAGTCCCCAATATGGATCTCTTAAGATGGAATGCCACATTTTCTGTTTTTTTTTTTTTTTTTTTAGAGGCAGATACTGTCTACACATTCAATGTATTTGTTTCAATGTATTTGTTTTAATATTTCTATACTCACTCAAAGATTGGTAGCTTACAAATACATTGTAATGCAAATAAAATACTTGAAAGCTATTTTCAGGACACAGAAAACCCTAATAAGTATTGTTTTCAGCCTTATCTCTATGACTTCTGCCTTTTCTCCTTTTAATGAACCAACTGGCCTATAACTGTCCCCAAAATAGTTGTTTAAAAGTTTTTTTTTCAAGTTACTAGTGGTAAGATACTATGATATTTATAATAGAGAAACGATACTTGCTACTCATTTCAGTTATGGTTGGGTAAAAAAAGATTCTTCAATAAATTTTTAGTGCAAGCCTCCTTCAGGAAATAATCCTCTCTACTAACCTGTTCCTAGGCATTTTCCCCATAATAACCAATGCATCTTCCCAACATGTACATGCAACCATCTGTCATAACTGACCACTATGGTCCTGCTGCCTTCTACCAGTAATCCAAGGGTAAGGATGGTGTCTTTTTAGTTTATTCCATTCAGAGCACGTAACACAAACCCAACATATGGTAGGTCCTCAATGGATGTGTGTGGAAGGGAATGAAATTCTGCAGAAAGCTGATTGAGCATTGAAAGCACAAGATGACTACTGAGGAATTTTAGCATTCTTACTAAATGCTTTTTGAGATCTCATCATTAGAGAGCTTGAGTAACATTAGCCCTGTAGACATCATTCTTTTTTACCATTTTATTATTATTAATCAGTCCTCCCTGATTAGATTTTTACAGATGTAACCCGATAACACTGAACTGCTCATAAGCTGTCATATTTCACTGCTTCATCAGGTTTGGACTTAATGGCAGAACTCAAAGAACAGCAAGTACCAATATCAATTTTCTCTGCAATTCCTCCTGGGGATGAGACATGGATATAAGGCCTTCTGGGGGTTAGATGGAAGACTATAAGCCTATTTTGCCCTGTTCAGACTGGCTTGTTTTGTGCCTGGCTCAATAGCAAATCTTGGGTGTAGTAGTTTTAATAGCACTGCAGAGAGCCATAAACAAGAATTATAGGCATCATAGAATTAAAAGCATGCAGTGGTGTAGAATTAAAATTAGAAAGTAACTTTAAAAATTAAATAAATAAAAACCCTGCCTAAGAAACAGCAATGTAGCTGTGTATCCATCAGCATAATCCACTTCTGCCATCTGGTGGTGGGGACCAATACCAAACTTGCAGACAAGGGCTTGGCTCCCTAAATGTGGCAGTAAGCTTCCCTGTCTCTATTTGGACAGCTGGAATGGTCTTTTTGTTTTCATGGGGAGAGAGAGGATGATGAAGTATGTGAAAGCAAGACTGGCTGGCTGCAGATTTGTGCTTGTTTGGGAAGTGATATTAAACTTTAAATTGGATTCCTTATCATCATCCCCTTACCCTGAACAAACTGTACCGAAGGCCAGACATTATGCTAGATCATAGGATTGAAAGAACAGTCAAATATGGCCTCTGCCTTCAAAGAATTCCTGGTGTAGAGAGGAGGATGGAGAATCTAGCAGTTAAGTTCAATCCAATGCTATGGGTTCAGAGCAGAAGCATACCTATCATGCTATGGAGCCTCAGGGAAGTGGCATCTAAATGGATTTCACGTTGTTTAGAATGCAATTATTGCTTTCCCTTTTTCTTAGCAATTCTTTAATGCTCAGCACCAGTAATAACTTTAAGTTGTGCCATCTTTTCTGTTCATAAAACACACAGAGAGACTAATACATGCTATAAAGAGATAATTATATTTTATATTCCCTTTCCTTTCAAGTTCTGGCTGCTATCTAAGTTTCATTGGTCTAAAGGAGTAAGGATGAAAATTTCACTGCACTTGCAGGCCCTGGTGAACTGAGATTGGCTCTACCTCACCAGTGGCAAGAAGTATCATTAGCAAACCATTAATTTAGGCTGCCTACTCTTGGCCTGAGTGGAAGAGAAGATATATTTAAGACAGCATGGGAGAAAAGTGGTTGAAAGAGAACTTGAGCTGCTACCCCTTCTCACTTTGCTCCCTTTCCATACTTCCTAACCAATAGCGCTTGTCAGCTCTGCCTAGTGAATTTAAGAATGTAAAAGGTTTCCTTGTGCTGTCCATTAGAATAGCCCACTGTTCGCCTGCAGACAATAATGAGGATGACACTAGAGGTGGGAACTTTACCAAGAAAGGCATTTATCTCAAAATTCCTTCTTGATAAACATTGACTTTCTAGGCAGTGTAGGAAAGACCACCCATGTGCTGCGTTTTTGAGGACCTTTGCCCGGTTGTGAATGGAAACCTAACTTATATACTAAGCCTGTGGCTCTAAGAAAGAGCTTAGGTATTGAGGACCAAAGGCAGTCAACTCACTGGTGGAAAGCAGAGAGCTTGAGAGAGCTCAATTCCTAGTTTCAATGCATAATGTTTGTCAATTTCTGTGATACCCAATATGAAATGGCGAATAGATTAATGAAAGCTCACCTTTTTTTGCAGCTTGTTGCTAACACTCTCAAGAGGGGAAGAACAATTGAAAATATCAAGTCTTTTTCATTATGTTTGTCCATTCTGCACCCTCAGAACACCGGAGCCGAAGTGATCGGCGAGAGCAAAGAGCTGCTGCTCCCCTCTCCATAGCTGCTCCACCACTGCCAGCTTACCCTCCAGCTCACAGCCAGAGGAGGCGTGAGGCCAAGGACCGCCACTTCCTAACGGTAAGCATGATGGCTGCTGGCTGGCCTGCATTTGCTCTTTGGAGCATAGAGTTCCTATCTGCTCAATGTGGGAAGCTGGGCTGGCTGAGGGGCAGGTAATAGGCATATAGGAACTCCTTTCACTCCTTTTGTATTACACACACTCACACACACACACAGATAGAGAGAGAGAGAAAGAGAGAGAGAGAGAGAGTAAACCAATAATCAATAATAGTTAAGGACTCTGAAATCAGAAGGGAATTTTGCTTCTAATCCTAGCTCTGCTTATATGTTAGAGTTTAGGATTGAGTTCTTTTCTTTTCTCTCAGCTCCTCCCTTCGTAATAGGGGATATTATTTATTTAGCTTAATAGGGCTTGAAGATGCACAGAGCTTCACAGAGGGACTGACTGATATAGACGAAGACATCTATACATCTATAAATGTCAACCACCACGGATACTACCATTATTACTAGTCTTACTCCATGGGAGAAGCTGTAATGTGATGTGAAAATTTACCACTAGAACAAATCATAAGTTTGCGCTTTCCCAATATAAGAGGCTACTTCCCAAGGGTAACCTATTATCTCACTGACATCACTGCGTGTGGTTTCAGCCTACTAGGGGTGGATGAGGCTGTAACTCAGGCCAAGCTCTTGAGTGTGGACCACAGATGATGAAGCTGGGCCTCAGTTCAAACACCTGAAAACTCAATCGGCAGCTGGTGCAAACACTTTATCCCACATGTGCCTTCTGGAGCCTCTGTGGGATAAGGAAACATTTGCTTCTGTGTACTTATATCATTAAAGTCAGGAACTATGGTTTTGTGACCAAGACAGTCCAGATTGTGTTCAAGCTTGCCAGCACCCCTACTGTCTTTTTTTGGGTTTGAAACCCGAAGTCTAAAGAAGTTACAGCACTATGTGTATTAATTAACGATTTTGTTTGAAATTAAATGCATGACTACAAACCCCATACCAATATGGGCTGTGCAATATGCAAAAATAGTGCAAAATGTCCAGGTTCCATGATGCCAAACATTCAAATGGAAACATACTTTATCTAAATGAACTTGCATGTTATAACATATTCAGATAAGACCTTGAGTGTGACTAGATGATCTGCAGGTATTTTACCTGTTTGCAGCCAGCTAGAAGGCACTGTGCTGTTCAGTTGCATACATACTGGGTACCATACTTAACACACTGTTGTGATGCAGCCAAAGAATAAGAAAGGGGGGCTATACTTCTCTGATTCATCAGACGGAGTGCTTACACATGCTAGTGATTTGTCATAAATGTCCCTACTCAATACAAGTTCTTATTAAACTTAACTCTGCTTGCCAAAGCATTGTTTCTAATGAGGTATTTTTTGCATAAAATGTTAAAAATATTTTCCCATTCATTATAACACATTTTGCGGCTCATTAAGTTGGTTTTCTTAGGGAGAAGGTGAAACAAAAATTTTGAGTGCTTACAGAGGTGACAAGAAAATATAATTCCTTTTATAATCTGCATAATTTTAATGACATCTAAATATGTAAATAAGATGCTAGGAAAAGACTTAAAGTAGTGGCTAGCAATAACTGTGCTTCATTAACCCAATAGATAGCAATAAGAGGATCCTAGATTATACTTTGGTAAATGTCTGAAAGTTTGCCTATCCTGAATTTATCACATCTTGACATTTACAAGTCACTTGGGGGGAATTTTGTTTTCAATTGAGTTTGGGCCACCAATTTCATTAGAAGATTTTCCATTCAAGTTATACCTCACATACTTGGCTATGATAATGGCTCTATGCATTCATCTTAAAAGGCTACATGTTGCTTAAAGAGTAAAGGTTACAAGAATAAGGATAGGAACTTTGTAGACAAAACCCTGGACACACATTTTCTTAGAGAATTTTTGGATTTATATTTTATTAGAGGGTTTAAACCCCAGCTGCCTATTGTTTTCGGTTGAATGATTTGGAAGAAGTTATATCTGTCTGAATTCTGGTTTCTTTCCATTTTTTTTATAATTGTATTTCAGTTTCTTTGTCTGTAAGATAGGGATAATCATTTCAACTTTACAATGTCATTAAACATATTTCATGTGACACTATATAAATAAGATTAAATTTTGTTTTTGCAAGTCCCTAGCACAGTGCCTAAAATATTTGAGTATCATAGTCAATTGTAATAAAGCTCTTATCATCAAATGAAAGGCCTGTAATATGTATAACCTCATAAAATTAGAGAAAGTATAAATCACTACACCTTTTCCAGAGGAGAAAGAAAACTCTAAATATTCATGCACTTTCATCCAGCAATTCCACATCTGGGAATTAACTCCAGGGTGATAGATCAGTCTATGTAAATATTTACTTATTAATATGTTCATCAAATCACATTTTAATAGAAAGATATAATTACATATATCCCATGTCCAAAACTGATCTTATTTTTAATAAATTTTGGTACACATTATATTCGGTTCTATAGGATGTAATACAATATCATAGTATTATATAAGAATATTTGATGACATGAAAAGATGTATATTTCATCACTGAGGATTTTTAAACAGCCCATAAGATTTTGTAGAGTATCATCTCAAAGTGGCTATCTGTAGATAAATGGCTGAAAAACTATGTGGCTGTGGTTCCCTAACTGTGAACTTAGGTACCCTATGACAGTGCCATGAACTTATACATAGGCAATGGGATAGTAAAACATTTTCAAGAGACATGGTGTCTTCACTTCAGGGACATCTGGCAGTGGCTCAAAAGTAGCTCTGTAAGTCCCACAAATAAGAAGGAATACTTAGTTTTTTATCAATTAATTTACCTAAAAGTTTCTGAAAGAGGAATTTTCAGATAAACAAATGGGTTAAATTTAGCTTAAAGCCCACTATTAGGTGAGAATTTAAGGAGTGTCCCTAAATAACAGCATCTTCTGTCATCAGGATGACAAAGGAGGTGACTTCAGGGAAAGATTCGCTAACAAGATTATCTTTTCCAATGTGCTCTTGAATTCTGAAGGTCTACCATTAGCAACTGTGTATTTCTCTCTTATTAGAAGAGACACCAGCCTTGTCCATGAGTTCAGCTTTAGGATATCAATTTTAATAAATATGTGATATGAAAAGAAAGAAGACTCTATGAAATGAATTTAGAACATCTCTTTGTAATTTGAGATGCAGGAAGAGAACCAAAGCAACCCTCTCCAAATCCATACCCTCACATGGCATCTCAATATTCTGATTAATTCACTATGGAAACTATAGCTTTAGACTAGTCAAGGACCCAAAGACTTGTATGAACCTAGGTGGAAGTCAAATGTATGAAGTTTATGGCAAAAAAAAATATTTCCAAGAGCCATAAGAAAGAGAAATAGCCCAAGATCAATTCTTTATCCACACGAGTAGACTTTTGTCTGCAAATATATTTGTTAATGGCAGGATACTGACTATTTATTGTGGGCAGAAGGGATAAGGAAAGAAGAGTGACACCAAGGTGTGTGTTTGTGTATTGAACAAAAACTCGGTGACTGAAACTCATTTGTCTTCATGTAGAATTCTTGACGAATTTTCCCTTGCCTAGGTTGTAGTCAAATTAGGCATAACAAATGGCAATCAGACTATGGGACATTTGTCAGAGCAACAACAGGTAGCCTCTTCTCTGCAAATGCAAACATGGGCCTCTTCTCTGCAAATGCAAACATGGGTTAGCAAATTTGGTCAAGGTCATTCCAGAGAAATAAATTCAAGATACCCCTTGAAGAATTTTTTGGAAACACACAGTATTTTTAAGTGCTCAAGTGATGTTGATTGGAAAGCTTCTTGTTTGAAGGAGTTGAATAGTGTGTGTGTCTTGGTGTTTGTGTATCTGTGTGTCAGTGTGTGTATCGAAATGTACACTGAGCCTTCCATGTAGCTGAAGACAGTGGTGGTACAGTAAATCCATATCTCCCAGTATTTCCTTCAAAATTTATACAGAACAGCAAGGTTGTAAAATGAAGCTGTGCCACCAAAACACACCATTGAAATTATTTGAAGTACCCCAAACACCAAATTAATATGAAGTAAAAAGATAAAAATAAGCACCAAGTCTTCTTGTCACAGGGACATGGAGGGCAAATTTGAAAAACCTAAAATTGCATGGAGTAGGGAACTAGAGTGTATCTGGAGGTTGAAATCCACCTCCAGAACAGTTAAATTTACCCGATACCTGAAAATACTTTGAAAAGGTGTTCAGATAGAAAATGGATTTTAGAATATGTGTACCATCCATGAACAGATATCCATCCATATATGAAGCTTTGAGAGGAGAAAGGGCAGAAAGACATATGCACCATTTATCAACTAGAGGTGAAGAAACAAAAAACAAACAGAAATGATACAAGTTAAACATGAGAAAATAAAGGAGTAACTAAGAAAATAAAATTGCCTTATTGATTTTTGTCTAGGAAATGAGTAGGCCTTAAACGATAACAACAATCCCCCCAAAAAAAACTAGTAGTAAAAGTTCAAATGATAGAAAAGGGATAACTATGGCAAAACAGTTTGATAAAGCTCAAGAGCTGCGGCACATTTTTGAAAAAGAGAAAGCAGTGAACAAATATAATAAAATATACACAGTTACAAAATATATCAGAATTGTCACATCAATTAATGTGAGCTTAATTTGCACATTAAAGGAAACTCTTTCAATTTGTCTTAATCAAGCAATACCAAACTACACACTGTATACATGAAACACACCTAAAATAAAATGATCAAACAGATTCCATAAAAGATGGAACAAAGATATGACAAGTAAATAAAACAATAAATCAGTAGTGTTTTAAAATATACTTGTGAATATTAATGTGACAAACAACACAGGTGTATATTTAAGAAACAAAACCTGTAGATACATACAGGTAGAAACATGGTATCATTAGGTGATTTTTAATACATCACTTTTAGTACAAGACGGAGAAAGCAGACCAAAAAAAAAAAAAAAAGATTGGAGACAGAAAACCTAAAAAACACTG